TTATTGAATATGGCTACTTGGGGGAAAAAAGCTTATTAAATTGTATTAATACATAAAAAAAAGAAGGAAAAAAACTATTCAAAAAGAGAACCGACAAAACGAATCTTCCTTGAAAGGGGAATTTCCGAATAGAAATGATATCGTTTGAAATTTCTAGTTTCAATATATACTTCAAATTTTCATGGTATATATTACAGTTGAGGGTGAACGTTATGTAATGTCTTGTTTCCGTGTGCAATTTTGTTTCAAACGTTGACTATTTCGAATCTTTATGTTGATATAAATCCCAAAGTTTCGAATAGATTCGAAAGAAATTTTGATTTCTTCTGCGAATTATAGAAAAATATTGTATTGTGCATTATAGTGTAATTCATTACAATGAAAACATTATATCTATTTTATATAATAATATAATATTACGTAAAATTTTTAAAAATATTTTTATTGGAATTTTAGACGACTGATCATCATTTTATACTTTCATATTGTTTATTAGTAGGCCTATACTTTCTAAATTTTTATGTTTGTTCGTTTTTAACTTCTAATGATATAAAGCAGTGTTTTCCGAAGTTTTAACATCCATTTACCTCTTTTTAAATTTTGACAAATACCTAGTATTTAGTACCCCTTAACAAAAAAAGTTTTGCAAATTATTCAAATGCAGAACTTAATACCAACGAGGAGAGGAATTTATTCATTAGCAGAGGGAAAGTGTGGCGATACGTCAAAAAATGACCTCCCCAAGATTTTTACATTCTTGGACTCAAGACTTCTTGGACCTTGGAACTTCGAGAAATGCAAAAACGTCGGGTTTGCTTTCCTGTATGTATGGATGTTAGGGGTGTGTATGTGTGGGGAGAACATGATTTTGTTTACCTTCTTTGAAGTTCAATAACTCCTGTGCTTTGCTTTTTTCGAAAACTTCTGAATTTGTGCAGGGAGGTTTGTGTATTAGGTTTGTGTATTAGGGGCATCGATGCTATTAAATTTTGGTGGTTAAAGGTCGTGACTTCCGGTCCAGTAATTGTGTTATATCTGGAGGGTCGGACTTAATGATGATTTTACTCGTTATTAGCATTTAAAATTTTTTGTAAAACCCATCTCTACCCTCAAAATGAAGTTTTTCATTTTGTATTAATAAACAATATAAAAAGTTTTTAAAATAAAATATAACAGATGGAGCCACGCGCAGTTTTAAATGTTGCCGGGAAATTTAAGAAACTCGTTGGTGGATTTTCTTAACAATGATTCTAATTGCTACGTACCCCCTGAAGACGTTTTGCGTACCCATGAGAGTACATGTACCACACTTTGAAAACATTAATATAAGATATTTAGTAGGCAAAAGCGACTCATAACAATTTTGAATATTTGTATATTTGTATTTATTAATCCAACCTATTTATTTATGCATGTAATAATATATTTTAAACAATATTTTGATAATTCATTACATCAACATTTTGAAATCTTATTAAAAAGTAATTTCCAAATTCTTCGAAGAAAAATATTTCCTAAAATTTTATACTTTTTCTTAAATTAATTTAAAAGGAAATTTTAATTTCAATTAAATTATCTTTTTAATGAAATCAACCAATTTCATTGAAATGAATTTATAAAAATTCTAAATTTGAAATAAAAGCAAGAAGCAAGCAATTGTTTTGGCATTACTTTAAATTAAAATATCTCAGGTCTACAAAATAAATTATTAATTTTTTAATGTATGGAAAATTTCATGCTTAATTAACATGACGATAATTATACACAAGGTGTCTCAAGAATCAATTTACCGAGATATATTTTGACATTATTCACTCTCTTCATTCGAAGCAATTGAATCATTAATAATGTTAAAATATCATAGAATAACAACATGCAATGTTACAATCCGGTTATAGCTGTTTTTAAAATAATAGTAAAATATATGTCAGTTAACTGACTTTTGACCACTCTGTACATCTTATGTAAGATTTTATATTTCATGAATATAAAACAGCATTTCCTTGCAATCTAAATAGTTATTACGAGTTAAATTCATTCCCTAGTCAATCTTTAATCATTCATATATATAAGTAAGGATGTTTGTTTGTTTGTTCTCTATACACTCCTAGGCCGTTCGACCAATTGCTACGAAACTCGGCAGTTAGTTACGTTTCGTTTGCATACTTTTAATTTAAATCATGTCGTACATCCCATCCCAAAATATCTATTGAACTTCTGTCAATTAATTAAATTCCATCTCTATTCGATTTTCTGATTTACACGTAGCGCCATCTATTGGCAAAAATTTAACAAAATAAATTAAATATAATTCTTAGAAAAAATTATATAATTTTAAAAATATTTATATTACATTCACTTAATTGCTGCGATAATGATATAGTGCGAAATAGACGCGCTATATCATTACTGCTACAGGTAGCATATAGCACTTGCCACTCGATTTTTTCATTTCTGAACGGTATTTCTTAATAAGTGGCCTCCAGTAGCCGAGTGCATAAAACCACCGAATACTGGTAGTGTTTGTCGTGGGTTCGGGCATGGGCAACGGGCTGTCCACGTGCAGTTTTCCGGGTTTTCTTCACGTTAGTAACATCTAGAGTCCAGCTTCCCGTAAAAGTCTTTCCGAGATGCATTACCCTTGGCAGATCGCTCAAGTGTCTCAATGCTTAACCAAATAAATTAAACTAATTCTAACGAGGGATTGTTTATTGTGACAACGTCACAATACCGAGCTACAATTTTTCGTCACAATATTCTCAATTCTTTTAATGATGTCTTGCCCTGCACATAATACTTTTCCTGCTAGCAATAAAGTCGTGCCGGTCTTCTATTTAACTCCGTTCGGGGAAAATTTTGAATTGAAGTAACGTGACTTTCAGTCCAAACCGAAATTTCGTGTATAGTTAATCTGGACCTCCTGCCCTAAGCTTTCCATATTTGGTCTCGATTTTCATCTATCTAACTCCGTTCTCGAGATTAAGGAACGATAGATAGTCAGAGTGAGGACAGTGGAAATTTATAGGTCTATAATTTTTTCAAATTGCAGCCTAATAATTTTTCTATAAACGTGATATTTACGAGAACATACTTCCCATGTAATTTACACAATCTGTTGCCAAAATATAAACACTATTATCACATAAAAACAATTATTATTACAGTTTTACAAGATTTTTTTTAATTTAAACAAGTTTTATATGAAGTCTTTCGGACGTTGGGGTTAAGTTTAGCAACTCCGATCACATGCGGGGCCATCACTTTTCAAATATTAATAATAGACTAATAGTAATTAGTCATCGTTGAGCATCCTCTCTTCCGGGAGGAGGTCAACGACTACTTTTGGTCGAATTACTTCACTCCCTTCCGCAATAGTCCCTTCTTTCTATCGGACCAGCGGTAGAGAGACATTCGAATAGGCAAATTATATAATACAATGTTACCAATCTGCACAACATATGTTTTAAGTAGTTTTCGAGGGTGTCGAGTTTAAATATTGGTCCATTTCTCGCAAAATTTGATTCGTTAGCAGATTGCTATTTGATATTCGGCTGTGAATGGTAAATTTTCTTAGAGTTAACATTAAGAAAAAATATGATAACTTACGAATTGATTTTAAATTTAAATTTTTTATCTACTTGATCAAAACATGAAATTGTGCCATTTCGTATCATCCGAGTATCGCCATAAGCATAACTATAAGCATTAGTATCGCCATAAGCAATAGTAGGCTGAAATAACCAAACTATACGTTTTTCGTTTTAATATTTGTTATATTATAGTATTTGATTTATATAACTACGAAGGTTATCTTACGTAAGGGTTTATCACACCAAGTGAATAATCTTACACATTTTAATCCTCTACTGCACAGAATTTAAAGAATTTTTAGAAGTACACTTGGTCACTTGGTGCGAAAAACCATTACGTAAGATAACCTTTGCAGTTATATAAATCAAATACTGTAATATAATACAATAGAAGGGTTAGAAGTACAAAATAATCAAATAATATTAATCTTTGTTGTTATTTTTTTCACGGCAACGCCCGGCTCATCTGCTAGTTGTATATATAATTTTAAAAAAATAGAGACGAGGAACTTCAACAACGAAAAATGTTTAATACTTTTAAAGCAAATTAATTACAAATTATTTTAAACAGAGATTAAATTTAAAAAAAAATAGAGATTAATTAATTGAATTTATTGTTGTATAAATTCAATTAAGATCATTTTAGAATGAATAACTCAAATTTTAATCGTTGCAATGCCCATGACAAAATGTAAATTTACTTAAAATAATTACGATTATTCACGCTATTTTATACATTCGATTTAATATTTTTTAAAATAAATTTATTTAATTATAACATAAAATATGTTGAAAAATCTATATAAAATATCTACAATTCGTTATCTTTTAAAAAAGAATATAGGAAAGGCTAAAGCGTGTTAGGAAAAAAATAAAGATATGTAGTCATTTATGTTCAGTTATCAAGACATCAAAGAAATCCACATAAATTTAGTGGATATTCGTTCGGATAGGAATTCCAACGAACACGAAAAGATATGGCTGCATCTGCAATAGCTGTTTTGCAGTATGACTTTATTGCTCTCTACGGAAGTCATAAATCAGGATACAAAGGCTTCTTGCTTGTTAGGATGTGAGCAAAGAAGCCTAAATCTAATTAATGATTTTTTTCTCTCTTGTAAATATATGTATATTTTAAAGCTTATTTTAACTTTATATCCTTCCAGTTAATATAATCTATTTTTAAATTCCATTCACGATTGAAATTAAAGTACTATTTCTTTGAAAGTGAGTTATATATCGGAAGAAAAGTGGAGCATGAAACGAGTAATCTTCTTTACTGTTAAGAAGGATCAAGTGAAGATCATGAATACATGGAGAGAGAGAGTGTAAGGCTACTTCCGTGCAGTTTCATGCAACACTTAGACTCTACGTCTTTCAAATCGAATCAAACGAAAGGAAATGTTTCCATGGTAATGAAACGTCACGTGATGACGTCACTGGCCTACTTTTCGATGTCTTGTGACGAAAGGAATTTGAAGCAAACAGGTTCAATTAATCGAAATGAATAAGATTTTCACGCTATCTTTATTTTATTTTATTATATATACATATATTTTACCTCCCCCTTAAGATTGTGATAAATAGTTTATGTAAATATCTATGTATTTTATTTTTTTATTTTTGTTTCTAGATTACATATGAGAATTGTTTTTTTTTTTAATTTCTAATTATTTTCTAAAATTATATTAACGTCTAGACTACTCAATTTTTGTTTTATATTTTTAATATGTAGGCTACATATATATATTCGTATCTTTTATCCTTTAAGAAAATAAATTATTAGAAAAACATCATTTTGAAAGGAATATTTAACAAATATTTATTACTTTGTATCATCTGAAATATATTAACAAAAATATGAATTAATTCTGTACACCTTATGCTTACGTATTTTACAGGAGTTTTATTACTTTTAAACAATATCGAAGAATAGAATTTCTAATGCGGACGTAGACTATATTTGTTTTTCGAATTTATAAACATGACATTTAAAATTTAGTGAATATATCGATCTTTGTTATTCTATTAATAAATAAATAAAAATATAATAACAACAACAACAACATCCTCAAAATATCTAAATTTATTTTTATTAATACAGGCTTTAAATAGAAAATATGAACTAAAATTTATATAGAGGAAACTATATAAAAAGTATTATATAGATTGCATATTAAATTAATACGTAAACAATATCTAGAATTTTTAATTGCATTTATAATTTTAAAAATGTATCCTAAATTATCTTGACATATTAAATATTTACTCTTAAAAAATCTAAAAAAGACTTGATGTTTATGTAAATTTGATAAAATATCATTGTAGAGCACCTGGAATAAGAAAATATTTATTCATCTTTTATTATTTTCTTAAAGTATCTTATTATTGAGTGAAAACTTTATTAGATTAAGTGTTGATATATATATATATATATAATAAAAGCTACTTTTTGTTATTTTCAGCTTGCGTTACAAACACGAATTTTGCATGATTACATACATTATTTAATTGTGTGTGTATGTGTGAGGTTATTGTGTGTGACATAGTTTATCTTATAGATTATGCTATAATATAATAATCTTTTCACATGATATTAAAATTAATTAATAACTTCTTAACTTCTTTCATATTTATTAAGTAACTATTTTATATAGATCAATATTATTTTTTAAAAAAGTAATAAAATTATTTATTTATGATTATTATATTTTGTAAATATTTTTTATTTATTTTCTCAAAATAATAATTATATTTTTAATAAAATAAAATAATAACTTTATTCTATTTATTTTATATGTCATTAAGAAATAAATTTTGTTATTTTTTTTTCACTAAATTGAATTTGTAGAAAATACAGGACTAATGAATATAAATAGAAAATACAGGACTACTGAAAATGAATAAATGCAATTGTAATTTTGATAATTTTATTCTGTTTAAATATAATTTTAAAATGATGGATTTTTCTTTTGAGATTTATTGATAAAAGGTTTAAAATTTCTTTCTTTTCTTAGAATAACGTAAATAGTTACTTCAATATATTGATTCAATTTTGCTTGTATTAACTTAAAAAATAATAATATTCCTTATCTATAGAATATAACTTATATATTATTTCGCCCCCTCTCTCTCTTTATATATATATAGCCTATACACATAGAGAGAGAGAGAGGAGAATAGGATATTGGTATATTAGTTAAACATAAAATTTTACTATAAATACATTGAAAAAAATTAGTTTTCAAAGTATTAACAGTAAACGTTTTATGTTTATAATTAAAAATAATTATGTTGATAATTAAATAAATGATGAGATGAATTTTGACTTAGAGATTTAAAAATTCGTTAAAAAACTCTATAATTTTTAAAAATTAGTTTAAAATATTCCTACCACAGAAAATATATTTTATTCAGTGGAGTTGAAAAAATTAATTAACGTTAATCTTTTAAAATATAATTGGCAGTACGAAGATGTATTAGTATTTAGGCTGTTACATAACTTTAAATAATCAGTTTTAATATAAAATGGATTATAATTTATTTAGAATAAAAATTATATAATTTATCCTTTATGTATTATTCGTTGAAAGATAATTAGAATAGACATAAAAACACGAAATATTATATACTGTGCTTTAAATTACAGACTATAAACACATTAAATATCGCTTACTGAATGGTTATGTGTTGGGACGTCATTGGGTGGGGTACTCTTCAATCACGAAAAATGAAAATAGTCTTTTCATTATGTCGAAGTCTAGCAGATAATATATTATTAGAATAAGGTAATAATATTATTCAAATCGATCTTTTCTCTCTGGCAGGATATTGGAAGAAAGCTAATGTATTATTGTTTGCTTCGTTGGAATTAGTCTTTCAATTGATGACCCTAGCCTATATTTCAAACGTAGGAGATTACTGTAGTCTTATATGATAAAGATAAAAATAGAACATCAGTTCTTAACCACCGAATACCTGTTAGATTCGAGATCTCATTGGTCAGTTTTATTGATCTTCGTCGGTGACATAAGCAGAACTAGGGGATGGATTGTTACCATGGCAACTGGGAGGAGCTTCAGTCGGGCGATAGAGAGGCTGCGAGGCATAGACGACTGCTCTTTGGAACGATTACTTGGCCTCAAACTGCTGATTTGTTCTTTAATCCAGAGATAAATGGATGTGAAAACACTATATATAAAATCTTTATATCGATATTGATAGATAAAAATTGTCTTTCAGTGGAGTTGTTGGGAGCCATGCCTTGGGTCTATGGACGATTATCTTTCCACGTGCGAACACAATGGCCTGATTATTGGACCCACTGCGTAACAGGTGAGTAGTTATTTATCTCAACAGGTGTTTAGCTTTACAGATATTGAATTAATGTAATAAATTCCTTCGAGTGTAATGACGGGATTTGCGGTTAATAAAAACTCCTCGAATAGAAAACTGGCCATATGTCGACCTCATTTGACACGTTTAGATTATTTTCAACTTTTTTAACCAATACCGGTTAATACCAATATATAGAGAATAAAAATGTATTTTATAATCGTTAATATATATTTTACAAATAAAATAAATTTTTCTGTAAGCATTTATTTTCGATCTGTTTCTCAAGATATACACTTAATTTAATATAACTTAATATAAACTTAGAAATACAGACGTTACTTGAGACCGAAAAAAATTTGTTCTTAAATAAATCAATTGTTATTGAGTTAAATATAAATATAATTTAATCACGAGTAAATTAATATAATTTTAAATATTTATTAATCATTATTTTTAATGTATTTTTATTTTTATTAAATAATATTTAAGAGCTATATTTTAACAATATTATTACACGAAAATTACTTCTTGAGGGAAGTAAATTTATTAAGTTTCAATAAAGGTTGAAATCCTTTCCGATGAGCTATAATTTAACGTAAATGTTATCCCTTTTGCCATTCATCTGTAATTTGAATGTTAGATCTTTACTTGGATTACACAAATGTCATATAGAATATTCACATGGCCATAAAATAAATGTTATTTGAATAAGATGTGAAACACAATATTATAATCAATTTTGTGTACGTCAGATAAAATTTATAATAAATTTTAAATTTGCAGAACAAATATCACAAAATTACATAACTTTAAAACAATTAAACATCTAAACATTAAAATCTCGAATTGCGAATAATTTAATTTTTTTAAAAATTTAATTTACATTTCTTTCTTTATAAATGAATCAGTATATATGTATATTTATATTTTTCTTATATGTACAGGGAGTGGAGTTAGTTGATCTTATTGCCTCGATGTCTTCGTTGTGCTTCGTGTGTGAATTACCTATTTTGACCCATCAAACATGGGGTAATTGGCCAACAATCATCGAGAATCAAACAGAAGAACAAGAACAAGAACCCGTAGATTTGGGTACCAGAGGTTCTACTTATCACGAGGATTGCTTGAATTGTGAAACATGCGGTTTCAGATTGACTGGCTCGAATTTTCAACGAGCCAGAAGATACAAAGACAAGATATATTGCTCCTTACACTATGCTGATGTTTCGGGCCTTGTTAGTGGTGAAGAATTTATGCAAAAATTACGCGAATTTAAAAGGCAGAGTTTAGGTTGTGCAGAAGCTCGTCGAAAAAGTTCTACAACACTCCAATTTCCGACTCCCGTCCAAGCATGTCCAGGAAATGGGAGTTGTCCTTCTTATTCTCATTTTGTTAAACCAACACCTGGTTATTGGATAGAGTGCAGTGGAAGTAACTCGCTTAATAAAAATCCTTCTGACTCTAGTAATTCCGGTAATGTTACTATAACAGTTAATAAACTGACTAAAACAGGGAGTATCGATGGATATAATTTTGAACTAATGTCTTTAGAAGAAGAAACGTATGATAAATATTTCTACGGTACAGAACATTGGAATTATTTTACAAATGACGAAGCTCTGGGTCCTGTAATTCTAAGCATCAAACAGGAAAATATTAATAACAGGGACCAATTTAGGTAAATTATATTTAAATTAGAATAGACATAAAAACACGAAATATTATATACTGTGCTTTAAATTACAGACTATAAACACATTAAATATCGCTTACTGAATGGTTATGTGTTGGGACGTCATTGGGTGGGGTACTCTTCAATCACGAAAAATGAAAATAGTCTTTTCATTATGTCGAAGTCTAGCAGATAATATATTATTAGAATAAGGTAATAATATTATTCAAATCGATCTTTTCTCTCTGGCAGGATATTGGAAGAAAGCTAATGTATTATTGTTTGCTTCGTTGGAATTAGTCTTTCAATTGATGACCCTAGCCTATATTTCAAACGTAGGAGATTACTGTAGTCTTATATGATAAAGATAAAAATAGAACATCAGTTCTTAACCACCGAATACCTGTTAGATTCGAGATCTCATTGGTCAGTTTTATTGATCTTCGTCGGTGACATAAGCAGAACTAGGGGATGGATTGTTACCATGGCAACTGGGAGGAGCTTCAGTCGGGCGATAGAGAGGCTGCGAGGCATAGACGACTGCTCTTTGGAACGATTACTTGGCCTCAAACTGCTGATTTGTTCTTTAATCCAGAGATAAATGGATGTGAAAACACTATATATAAAATCTTTATATCGATATTGATAGATAAAAATTGTCTTTCAGTGGAGTTGTTGGGAGCCATGCCTTGGGTCTATGGACGATTATCTTTCCACGTGCGAACACAATGGCCTGATTATTGGACCCACTGCGTAACAGGTGAGTAGTTATTTATCTCAACAGGTGTTTAGCTTTACAGATATTGAATTAATGTAATAAATTCCTTCGAGTGTAATGACGGGATTTGCGGTTAATAAAAACTCCTCGAATAGAAAACTGGCCATATGTCGACCTCATTTGACACGTTTAGATTATTTTCAACTTTTTTAACCAATACCGGTTAATACCAATATATAGAGAATAAAAATGTATTTTATAATCGTTAATATATATTTTACAAATAAAATAAATTTTTCTGTAAGCATTTATTTTCGATCTGTTTCTCAAGATATACACTTAATTTAATATAACTTAATATAAACTTAGAAATACAGACGTTACTTGAGACCGAAAAAAATTTGTTCTTAAATAAATCAATTGTTATTGAGTTAAATATAAATATAATTTAATCACGAGTAAATTAATATAATTTTAAATATTTATTAATCATTATTTTTAATGTATTTTTATTTTTATTAAATAATATTTAAGAGCTATATTTTAACAATATTATTACACGAAAATTACTTCTTGAGGGAAGTAAATTTATTAAGTTTCAATAAAGGTTGAAATCCTTTTCGATGAGCTATAATTTAACGTAAATGTTATCCCTTTTGCCATTCATCTGTAATTTGAATGTTAGATCTTTACTTGGATTACACAAATGTCATATAGAATATTCACATGGCCATAAAATAAATGTTATTTGAATAAGATGTGAAACACAATATTATAATCAATTTTGTGTACGTCAGATAAAATTTATAATAAATTTTAAATTTGCAGAACAAATATCACAAAATTACATAACTTTAAAACAATTAAACATCTAAACATTAAAATCTCGAATTGCGAATAATTTAATTTTTTTTAAAATNACGTTAATGAAACCATGAGCATTAAATAAAAAGAAATTCATCTATAAATTAGTTTTTTTCTTGATATAATCTTTTTGTTTGTGTCTTTAAATAAGTTTTGAAGTTCCGAATCATTTAATATGTAAAATTAAACGCTTGTCTTTGAATTACAAATTAATAAGTTTTCAATAATATTAACCATAAAATGTAAATGATTATATTTAATATACAATAGAATTTAAATATTATATTTACTTTTAAACAACAAATTTGATAATTACTAAAAGAGAATAGAGGTAATAATAAATTGGATCAAAAATTAATTTCAATATCGCATATTTAATTAGTTTATTACTTTTATACTGAACAAATAAAATTGTATTCTAATTTGGAAAATATTTATTAATAAAATTAATGTAATCTGAATCTAAGTGTTTAATATTTAATTCGAAAAAAATTACAAATATAATTTTGCTTCGGTAAGTAGTATTTTTCGAAGTAGCTTAGATTAATTAATTTTATTAGAGAATCATCCCTCCTTCCAAATGTTATCTTGATGTAGAGGTAGCCTATCAATAGATTTTTTTTTTCCTCCCTACTTCTTTCAACAAGTAGTCGAGCCATTAATGTCTCCAATTAGGAATTGTTATTTAGCCATTGCTCGCCAATTTTTAAAATATTATATTTTTAATTAAATTTAAATCTAAATCAAAATAATAGAGAAGTCGAAATCGATGAACTTCATCGATCATCATCATTCAATGATTTTTTGAGTAGTGGATTCTAACAATTTCGCAAAATCAATAAGAGATGAAATGAGAGAAAGATATGTTCTATTTGACTGGATAAGTTAAACAAAAGTTTTTAAATTCATAAATAGAAATATGTAATTAATAAGAAAATAATGGAATGTTCAAAAGAGATTTTAAAGACGAATATCTTATTCAAATCATGTTATTGTATTGAAGAAAATAAAATATTTTAACACATTATAATCGTATTTTTTATTAATTAATTTTCTTGAAAACTAATTAAATAAAAATTTAGCTTTTTAAATATATTAATCTATAAATAATATATTTGTAAATGGTAATGAAACTCTTCCGTTTTCACTAATTTATTAAATGATACAACACTATGAATAGCAAATAATGAGATCATTTTTTGTTTCTAGAGATAAGTTCGATTTATAGATTTTTATTAAAGATAATTTTTTTCCAATAAAAAAACTAAATATAGGGGAAACGAGAACATTTCTAGAAGATATTTTAGTAACCATCAAGATAAACTTTTTCCAATCTAAAAACTTTTTATAGTTCACTTAGAAACATTTATTCAATAAACGATAATATATTATAGAAAACAGCTTAACGTTTAGTGTTTATACTTTTAAATCTTTTAATTACTAACATATTATGATACAATTATATAAGGCTCAGAACGCTTTAACAAGTAGCGTTCTGAGTCTTACCTGAGTTAAAATACTCTATTCTTATAGTTATAAATAAACAAGAAAATATTAACCATATTTTATGAGTTTTTTTAAAAATAATANTACAATTTGAAAATTATAAAATATTTTTCTAAAGTAAGAATATTTCACTTTGATTAGGTTTTCAATATAGATTAGTTAATTGAAATTTAAATTTTCCATGAAAATTTAATTATAATGTTTCATACGCATAGTGTGCTATTATGAAGTAATATAGGCTACGAAGTGTTGTAAAAGTTAGTTTCCAAAATTATCTCAATTTGCCATCAAGCGATTCATGAGGCCATGAAATTAATATTAAATTAACATTAGTGTTGATAGTTTGTTAACAATGCAAAATTAAAAAGAAATAAAGTGAAAATTTTCTTTAGAAAATAATTAAGCTTCGTGAGTTGCTTTTCAAGAATTAATGTAAGTTGACAATGTATTTATTTTAAACATTTATGTACTTTATAAAAATACGAATTCTTAATTAATATCTATAATTTATTACGCAGAAGATGCTTTAAAATTAAAATAATCCCTTATAGGAAAATTTATATTTAATTATATTCGTTACATGAAGTTATTTACATTTTTAATTAGTGAAAGAATTAAATTATGTATTATATCAATAGATAATTAACGATATAACTATGGATTACAAATAAATAAATATTTAAAATTAATTTTAAATATTTCCTATTCTTGGACCATTTTTAATGATCAATTGAAGAAAATTGAAGGCTTTTAAAAATATATTTGAACACGTTATTTGCCACGGTTATTTATCTGTTTATGCTTGTTTCTAGTGGCCTAAAGTTGTAAAATTGGTTGATTCTTTCGTATTTATATCTGCAAGAATGTATTTGAAGAAATTGATTTAAAATTAAATTAAAAATAGGGTGCAAATATACAGATGATGGTATTACTAGTTAGATTTCTAGGCACAATATCCAAACTGAATGTCAATATTTGAGTTTAAGACGAGGATGCAAAAATAACACTTGGTAAACATAGCTATATTGATTTTTAATTCAGTAGCGAAATTTTTCTATTTTTTAAATATTTAAATATATATAAAAATATTATTTAATTTATTGTAAGGAAAAAAAATATTATGAAGCCGGAACCTTAATCGATCGTGAAATGTCAATGTTTGGGTGGATTGACAAATTTCATTAAAGTTATCGCTCAAGTTGTTCTTCCTATTTGGACTTTTATCGACACACAAAATATTACGAAACTATTGTTTGCTTTACTTTATTTATGTTATCTTATACACAAGAATTAAATATACTTTATTCATTTTTAAACGTAAATAATTCTATTTTATTATTTTTACACTTAATAGCTATTAATAGTGAAAAACATCATATTAGCTCATCCCTCATTTCAAGGATCTATGATGTAATCTGTCAGTTGNACTTTTGAACTATAGTTTATAAAAATCTATTATTTAAACACGTGTTTTTTTAATTTTATTTACGTGAAAATATACTTTTTTTTGGTAAAATTTGCTATTTTACCAATCAGTTCACTTTTGAAAATAATATTTTCATTAACTTAAAACATTTCTAAGTTTCTTTGTATGGTTAACACTTCCATAATGTTTACTCCTGTCTGTTATATTTGTAATTTTTCTTATTTCCTGCCTTAAATGTTGACAATAATAATTAAATTATTAGTATTTACTATTATAAAATTTATCTTCACGTAATTATTCATATCATGTTATTTCTAATTTTTTAAAATTATTTTATTGTGTGTTAAAAAGATTTTTTTGCTTGTTTTTCAATTTAATCTTCATGATAAAAAGAGCTATATACAGTTAACCGGGGCTTCCCTACGTTTTCTATATCTGGTCTTGATTTTTATGTATCTAACTCTGTTCTCAAGATTAAGGAAGAACGGACAGATGG